TCATATTCCTTAAGACTCATGTAATCACAGAATATTAGAACCCATTTCTATCTTTATTGTTTGTTCCTAATCCAGACTCTTTACTCCAACTAAGTACACCTGCTTATTTTTTCCTCCATGGGTATGCTCTCAACATTGCTTCTAACTTTTACAAATGCTATATTTCCATTCAAAACACAAACCAAAATTTCCTTTTCTCTAGATAATTGCACCATTAATTTTCTTTTCAGTATTTCCTAAAATTGTACCAACTCATGTTTCTAAATGTCTATACTGCAATGATTGTTTTTACTTATTTTACACGTATTTAAACTGTACTCCTCTAAAAGTGTAAATTACTTAATAGCTGAGACTAGTCTTGAAATTTATTGTATACAGTTTTTATGCAGTTAATCTTTATTTAGAGTTGATTATCTGTTCTGATGACCTTTCATTTAAACTACTAATGGTTATTTGCATATCTACAAAGTAAAAAAACACACTGGAGAAAAGCACACTAGGTTTTAAAGTGTATAATTAGATCCTGAGAACACAAAGCTGGGTTGTTAAGATAAATTAAATAATCAAAATTCTAGAACTACTGATAAGTTAGGAAGGTAGATTTAAGCTAATAATTTGCATTTTAAAAAATCAAAGTTATACTCTTGAATAAACTAATAATAATAATAACAATATTAATAGCTGTTCAAGCATAAAAGAAAGGAGATATGGCTTAGTAGCAGCACATATTTTTTAAAAGACCTTGGGATTAATTGATCTAAGATCTACTTGAGTCAGCTATACTGGTGAGGAAACTGGAAATCAGAATATATGGATGAAGAAACTGGTGAGGTATGTATGGCATAAAAGAAAGAAGATTCATTGATGACAAATATCATGAAAGGAATTTAATTCTCTTGGATGACTCCCCGCAATCGATAAGGAATTGGTGGAAATGTCAGGTTATCGGTTTTAAGTCATTTATAAGAAAACTGACTAAAAGTCAGGTAAAATTATGTTTCTGAATTCAACTCTTACATTCTCCCACTCTCATTAGAAACTCTAGTCTTTAGAAAACTTCAAGCGTGGGCAAGCATGTAATGGTGGTGTTTTAAGTATCCTTTATTGGTTAGTCTGCATAAACTTTCAAGACATATCTATTATTTATTATATGATAAAAATAGAGTAATTTATTAAGGTAAGTCTCTGTGAAATAGGTTGCAATCAAGACAAGAAAGATATAATGTTATCAGTATATAGGTGGTAAACATGATATTTAGTAGCTACAAAAGTGTTGTAGTAGTTGTGTTAGTGAAAGTAATAACTAACTTATTCATTTATGACTCAGGAAGCTCTTCCTTTCATGCTATTATACTTGTAAGTTAAGTTTTAAGTTTAAAAAGTATTTTAAAAGAACACATCAGATTTTAAAAAGAAGCCATAAAGGTCAATTTTATATAAAGTGCAAGCAAATGTCCAAAAAAAAGTTTTACCACAATGAAAACCTAACTGTAAACAAAAATTCACCTTAACTTAAAGTGAATATTTTCATAAGAAAAACAGTATCACTAAACCCTTTAATATATCAATACTCATCTGACTATCTGAGACAAAATACGGAGAGAAAAAGGCAGAATTTATCTAATCAGAAGAAAAACTTTTTGAAGTTACAAACTCAAAAAATATTTTTATTAGACTTGTTCAATGCTTTGAACTTAATTAAGCAGATTTATCTTTAAGTGTTGTTTTCTACAATGCTTTTAAATGATAAATTTATGTATCATCTTATCAGAAGAACAGAATACAGTGTCCTTGGCCAAGATACTCTTCTCTGAAGTAGACTATTTCTGCACACTATACTTAGCATATTTAAAGACTGACATTCCAGGTGGGTTGCTTGCTCCAAACTGCATTCAAGTTTTATTTGTGAATGAGGCTTCATTACTTCAATACCCTGCCTCCTCCTTGACAGAATCATCTTAACATTCTCTTCAGGAACCAATCATGAAAAATTTCTGGAAAGCCTAATGCAGGTAACTCAATGTGCATTGATTCTCTTTTATGTTAAGGAAACTGTCAGTTGTCATGGCCAGAGGACGAGTGTGGTACAAATGATATGACAGAAGATGAAAAAGAATGTAAAAGAATATAACAACTAAATTCTAACTGGTTAAAAGAAAATACAGAAAAGACCTCCAAGTTTAGCTTCATTATAAAATACAGTAATAGAAAAACAATTGGAGCATTAAAAAAATATTATTTTAAAGTCGTCACAATTAATGGCAGAAATGAAGCACTAAGTCCAATGACTTAGTGCTTTTGATGTTAACTAATATAACTAATTATCTATTAGGTTAACTTCTTATAAAAGAAATGATATAATGACTTTATTAGGGAATGGTAGGTTTAGGAAGGTGAGGTGAAGGTCACTGGAGGTCTAAGCTCCAAATTATTGATATCCAGACAAACCTGCTTCCTTGCTGAATAGTGCTCAGATGGCAGAGACAACACTGATATGTGGTCTTAGCTGCTATTTGACAGGGAACTCTCACCAGTAGGTGACCCCATCAGTCTGAGAGCAGAAAAATTGCTAAATGATCCAAGAAAGTGCCTATAGGTTAGTACACCATGGGTTCCTGAGAAGCAGGAGGGCAGAGCCTCTGGAAAAATGAATTTTCAGTTGGAGCTTACACAAAGAAGCCTACACAAAATTTCTTTAAAGACAGAAGGAAACAAGTAATTTCGTATTCATAGATGTAATGTCTAATAAGTAGTTAATTCCCTTTGAGAAATAAACAAACAAAGCATTATATATAAATGGCAAGGTGAATGGTGTAATCTTTCAGTAATATAATAAACCCCAGTGATGGCTATAACCCTGTTCTATGAATATAATCCAGTCTGGAATCAATGACTATAATAGTATGGAGACATTGTTTTTGTCATATAGCACCAGTCAAAAGATGGAAAGGAAACATAGTAATCCAAAATACCACATGGATAAAATTATAATATCGGTCCTTCCTCAGCAAAATTGGCAAACACAAGTCCAATCAATTTTCCAAAAACATAATTCTAGTCCTCAGAAAGAAATCCACTCTCAGCAATTAATTTCAGCAAAAGGCTGCAATTGGAAAACAGATTGAAGGAGGGTCTTTCTTCTACTCTCCTCCTCCCTCCAAATAAAAGATCTTATAATAAATCATGGAAAATAAAACTACTGTATAAAAATGATGAAATAGTACTTCTTTCTGAATGAATAACTTACACTTCTAATATCAATAATCAATTATCTTCCTCAATGAAAGAGAAGTATTAAATATTTAAATAAATCACATTCAATCTAGATTTTGCCATTCTTCATGTAGAGATCTATCTATGCTGATATTCAACATGTTTTTATCTTGTACTTTCAGAATGTTCCATCTAAGCACTAGAGGAAACTACAGTAAATGTTAAAATGTAGAAAATTAAGATTGAGCATTAAAATGTAAGGAATTAATATCTGAATTTAAGTTTGTGTTTTAAAAAAGTAATGAATTTTTGTTTTCAAAAGTAATGAATTTTTGTTTAAAAAGAGGCTCATGATTAAAAATCAAGATTCAAAAACATGAGTCAGTTGTTGAAAGTCACAATATCTCAACAGAAAGTTTTTTTTTCCAACAGCAAAGTCTGAAACTGTAATGTGTAATTCCACATCATTTTTATTTATTCTGAAAACTCTGTTTCCTTTATAAATCAAAGCATCTGTTTTCACTAACAAAAACATATAACCTCTTCAGAAAGAATGCTTCTTAATTTCTATTATCAGACCTCACACCAGTAACAGAATGTTGCAGAAATGTTTTTTAAACATGAGGCCATGTTTATAGCTTTTTAAAAAAATATTTGATTTAAAGAAATACGAATACAGCAATACCATCAAGCTTATACATGTGAATTGTTCTAGATATTAATTTATAACCAGGGCCTCAGCTTCTTCATAAACCTACTGGGAGAGTTAAGAGTAGATAAGTTCAAAAATCTCATTTTATTAAAAAAATTCATATAGTCTAAAGTGAAAGGAGTAAAGAAAATCTTTATATAAAAAACTATATGAGGATATACAGCTATAAGTCTTTGGGGGGGAATCAAAGCTTTTTACCTTATGTAAATCTATTTCATTTTTAAAAGCCATTTTAAACCTGATATCTATTTTGTCATTAGTAGCTTATAATCGGTCTAACTTTAAACTCTAATGTGCAAGTTTATTGTGTTAGAAGAAAAGACTAGAAACCAAAACTCAAATCCAAGAAGTCTCCATCCAGTACTATTTCTCATAAAAACAAGACAAATTCTTGGGAGACTTACGGAATCTGAACAATTTTAGCATATGAAGTGAGAAGAAAATAAATAAGTGTTTTAAATTACTCACTTTTCCTTTGTAAATAAGGTACTCCAGAATTTACAATGTAAGTTTTTGACAAACTGAGGAAGATGACTGCACTAGTTCTACATTCACGGGAAATCCTGAATGTGTAAGAAGGGGCACAAGAGGATAAAGAAACAAACCCCTTCCGCTGCTCAAGACAAGATAAAGCTTTCAGGTCCAATTTGTGGGACAGTAACCTCTTTTTGCTAACCACTCACACTGATCAGCTCATTATGCCTGGAAAATCAGAGCCAGTCACTGAAGGGCGATATCACACCTTGGACAAAAAAGTCTTCCAAACACAAAATCAGAATATGAGAGTCAACAAGCTTTTAATCCTAAAATCTATAGTCGGACACTTTGCATGGAGAATCTGATATCCTTTCAGCTCCTGTTATCCTCCCAGAAACGCCATAGACACCGTTTTCCCACACTGTAATCATAAGGGAATGAGGATAATAGGAAATGCCCGGGTGGGCGTGTACTGAGAAGGGTAAAGCCTGTTCCCCACAGTGCCAGAAATAAACAGGAAAGATATGAGGACCCAGGAGCACACCATGCAGTGTCCTGGCTTTTCTCAGTACCTTTCTTTCCCAAGTAGAATGCCTACCTTCCGTGTGGACTGCAGAGACATAGGTCCAATTGTAACGTTTGACTATGTCAAGCATCGCCCTTGCCTGCAAAGTGTCAGAAGGGACAACCCTCAGGAAGTACTTGTACAAAGTTTTGTCACTCAGGTCGATGCTTGTGGCTGAATAAGCGATCTGGGGGATGTCGAAGAGCTGGAGCAGGTTCTGCACTTGAATAGCTACGGAGCTGGAGCCCGGACCGATGACGCCCGCAATGGGCTTCTTAGTCCTTCCTGGGGGGAGGGACTGGCCGTCAGGCAGGCACCGGTTGAGCCCGTCCTTCTCGTCTCGAATGGAAATCAGAGAGTCCCTGATGAACTCAATGCTCTGCTCCAGAGCCACGGAGGAGTGCCAGCAGGAGTCCCGGATCTCACTGCCCAGGGTGATGTTGGGCAGGAGGACCGGGTCCGCGTTGATCTTATCCAACGTGTGGAACATGGCTTCCACCCTCTGGATGCCGTATTGCTCCCTGATCTCCCCACACTTCCTCTCGGGCACCTTCTCGGCCGGAGGCTGGTGGTGGACCGAGAAGAGGGCCCCGATGATGACATCTCCGTCCATTCTGGCCACCGAGCGCTGAGACGAGGCTCCCGCCAGAAGCACTTTCCTGCCGGGGCTTCTGGGGAGAAGGGACATCTCCCAAAAAATCGCCGGGAAAAAAACCAAGAGGAGCCGGACCATCGTGGAGAGGACGTGGTCCACAGCCGGCCAGCCGCGTTCCCACGCCGGTCCTGCCTGCAGGCTGCGGGCGCGCAACGCCGCGACGCCCCACTCTCTTCTCGTGGCGCGGCGCCCCTCGCCAACGCTGCTCGTCCCACGCCTCCGCCGCCTCCGCCGCCGCCCCTTCCCCTCCGCCGCCTCCTTCTGGTCCTCCACGACCGCCCCCACGCCCGGGAGGCGTTTTTAGGGGAATTCGAATCTCCTTCTTCACCGGTGCATCAGTGTCAATCGATCAAGAGTATGCTGGGCGTCGTGGTGGCAGCCGTGAGCAGGACGCTGCTGACCAAAGAGAGAGAGCCAAAACTCCGTCACCAGGGGGGCTGTGTTAAAACTCTGGGATCAGTGATGTTAACAGCTGCCCTACCCAGTTCATTTTCGCACATCCTGATACGGGCTGCAGGGACAGCTTGGAAGGCAACTCTGGTCATTGAGGAAGGTGGTGCGTCCTCACCGGTCCAGTCGGGCTGGCTGCAGAGAGCCTCCCCGCCCGCCCTCTTCCCCAGCATAAAGTCTCTTCCTGATACCCTAGTACCTATCATGCTTTCTGACTTGGAGGATGGTGGGGAAAGGGAGAAGAGAGGAGGGGGGACCTAGGTCGTTAAACCCAAGAGAACTTTAAGGATTTGTGAAAAGATCAACTTTTTCCCAGAAGAAAAAAATAGGTACCTAAGTTTAAAGGTGGAGCCCTTACTTTAAAATAAACGCCGATAAGGGGCGCCGCTTTTACTTTAACTTTGAGGGGCTGTTGAAACCCTGACATACAATCCAAGCTGTAAATATAAATTTGCCAGCTTGAGGAAAATCCATATTAGTTACTAAGGCAACGCCTGGTAAAGTCTCCGTATGTAGGAGTTTAGTATGATTTCCCCCTAAGAAGTCAAGCTTACTATAGATGTTCAAGGAGAAGGGGTGCAGATAAGGTAACTTGTTTCCCGCGATGGGGGGGAGTGGTGGTAGAGGGGCTCCTGCACTCTGCTAAATCGGGACCTTTGGGCTTCGCATAGTTGATAGGGGACGGAGGGGAGCTTCCTGGCAGCTGTCGCTGCTGCAGCCTGTGCCGTGCCGCCTTCAGGACCCTGGACAGTGCCGGTCCAGCAGCCAGCCATCCCCCACCCGCAGGGCCAGCAAGGGATGCTTTGACCCATGAATTGCAATTCCTTGACACCCCCCACCCCCCGCGCCCCCGTTGGCTCTTTCAACCTCTC